TTTGCTGTTATCTGAGTAATTATTTCTGATTTCATTTTTCCCAGATCCTCTTTTGTTGCCAGTTCAGAGAGTCCAGGTGATTGAGTATCAGATTGTTCCATCTTGTTTCCCTTTGGGTTTGCTGTAGGTGATCCAGAAGTCTGTTTTTGAGACTTGTTTACGTATCTTCTCATTTCCACGGGGTGGGGGGTGTGCTTCTGGCACCCACGTGGCTTAGCTTCTCTGCCCTAGGAGCTTGGGATGGCAGTGGGGGAGCTTCCTTCCAGGTGCTGGGACTGGCTCACCTTCTCTGCCCTAGGAGCCTGGGATGGTGGCAGGGGAGCTTCCTTCTGGGTCCTGGGACCAGCTGAGCTTCTCTAACCATTGTTCTTAATGATCTATTTGTGTTTTCTCCTCCTGCAACTATAAGCTCTGCCAGTCTAGAAATCTTGGTTCCCAAAGGAAAAACATATCTACCAGGGGCCACAGCAATATTTCCATTGATCTATAACCTATGGCTGTTGCCTGGCCATGTTAGAGGTCTTTGAGTTCAGGTAAGAATGTGCCATGGTTGGTGCCCCCAAAACTCATGCTTAATCTCCATTGTAAGGTGTTAAGAGAGTGGAAACTCAATCCGACTGTGATGGTTAGAAGTGGGGTCTCTGGAAGGGGCTCAAGATTTTACAAAATCATTAGGGTAGGATCCCTGTAACTGAGTCCTCTTTCTTTACCAGAGACACACATCATACACTCATGTCCCTGCCATGGTATTTGTTGCTTGTGAGGCAACACAGCAAAGGGGGACTGTGATCATTAATTGTGATAGATCAACATGATTTGAGTAAGAATTGCCTAGCAGGTTAGTAAAGTTCTGGGTGTATCTGTGGACGTTTGATATGGAGAGGGGAAGACATTCCTCGTACTTTTGTAGTCTCAACCATAGCCTTATAGCATGGATAGAGTAAAAAGGAAATGAAGGGAGCATGCCTCCTTTCTGGAGGAGCTCCAGTCTTCACCATTGCCTTTGGATGTTGGTCTCATTTCTTCAGCCTTCCAGTGCAGGCTCTTCAGCCTTCTGACACAGACTTGCACCAGGGACCACAATGAGCTTCCAGATCTTTGATCTTCAAGGGCTAAAGGATCCTCCAGCTCTCCAGCACACAGATGGCCTTTTTTGAAACTTCTGCTTCTGATTCCAGGTGGACACTGGGACTCTTCCACTCCTGGTCCTGGAAGCCTACAGATAAGTCCCTTGTATAATTTGTAGTTATGTTATGTTTTGTACTGATTCTTTTCTCCTAGTGAGCCCTAAATAATACAGAGACCTCTGCAAGGGTTTGCACCAGACTGTTCAAACTTTCAGCATCTGAAATGGTGAGCTGAATAAACATCTTTTTTAATTAATGAAAAATGGGCCAATACAGAGAGTGAGTCACCGTTTTTGACCTTGATCATCAGGGGCACCTAGGCTGCTGTTACACACTGGAATCCACGGAGAATATGTGTCAAATCTGGTGCTCCATTTGGGCTCCTCTTGGTGTCCTCATGATCATGTTTGATGGTAAATGGACAAAAGAAGAAACTCCATCCTAGAAGCACAAGGCAACCACGGCTCCGACTCCTCTGGTGTGGGGATATGAGTCATTCTGACAGGCAGGCCTTCAGGATGGGCAGAGCTGTCAGCTGGTAAGGGGAATCTGGAAAACACATTCAAAGAGTAAGATAATGAGCATCAGTTGCAGTCCTGGACCAACTGCAGCAGTCAGTGAGGACTGTAAAGTGTCCAAGCAATTTCTTTTCCATGTACTCTCAGGAGGAGGGTTCACTAGAATCCTGGAGGAGCTGCTCCTGACTCTTCTAAGTTGTTCTGAATGTGCAAGGGGCAAGGCATCAGTACACTCTGCCACTTTGATCAGAAAGGACTTGTCACACAGCCACACAGGTGCTGTTGGAAGGTAATTTTCCACCACTGGCTCCTTCTGGGCCTGCCTAGGCTCAGACAGTCACCTTGTCCAAGGTCATGCGGTCTTCCCAAGGCCCGTATCTAGTGACAGATCATCACAGAAGTATAGAGACTCTGCCTCCTTGTCCCTACTCAGCCTGCTCTGAAGGATATCCATCTGGGGTCATCTGAGGCTATCGCTGGGCTTGCACCACGTTTCAGATTCTTCCAATGCCCAATCCTGCCTTCTCAACCTGTGTACAAGATGAATTGCAAAAACAAGCCCTAATAAATTACTTGCACCCTAAACTATGCATCAGAATCTGCTTGCCAGGGAGCCTTCAGCAACTTCTTTCCAGTAATTCTTACCTGGATCTCCTGCCTGCTGTCTTACCTTGCAGATTTTGAATTTGCCATCGTCCACATTTGTGTAAGCCAATCCCTTAAAATAAATCCCTCTGCATATACAATTGATTGTGTTCTTTGGAAAACATAAATGGGTCCACATTAGGAAATTTCTCACCATCAGCAGTTTCTGATCACTATTCTGAGATATAAATATAAAATGCTTGGCCTTGTAAACCCAGATAAGATGTGTTTAAAATCGTATTTGTGCTAGGCTGGAGCTGGATGTGTTTCAGAGAGAAGCAAGGAAAAGTAGAACAATATCATCAGCAGCAGCAGCAAAAAAATCACCACTACAACCACCACCACCACCACCACCACCACCACAAACAACTACAAGCCAACCCGCTAACAAAAAAATGTAGTATTTTTAGCATCTTGGTGCATTGATATTCTTAATTGAGAGGCAAGTATAACAGAACCCCCTGGTTTATCTTATTAGACACAGAGGTGAGGACAAGTATGAATGAGCAGATGGAATTATGAAGTATTACCAAGCATAATGTCTTATAAGGATAATGTGTAGATAGTTCACATCCATCAAAATAAATGCACCCATGTGTGTGTTCCTGGAACTTGCCATAACTTTGGGCACATAAGATGAAAAATTGCTGAGTTGTTAAGAACATAAGTTTGGATTTTATCTGCTAGTTGGAAAAGCGTTTAGATTGGGCTGTGTGAAACTGCCAATTTTCCAGGTCAAAATGAAATTGCCATTTATGCAGGTAAAAAATAAACAATTTCATGATTTAAGTTAAAACTTAATCCCTTGATATTTTGGTTTCCTTCTTAGTAAAATGAGATAATTATATAATATTCCAAGTTAGATTGTTATGATGATTAATTTCATGCATGTAAAGTACATAGCATCATGCCTGACATATGGTGACTACTATTTTTGTTATTACCACTTTTATTCCAGTGTTAATGAGTGAATCAATACATGAATGAATGGACAATAGTTCAAAATTAATGCCATTCTTACTCTGATAAATGCAATTACTAAAATTTGGAGTCTGATATTTTCATATTTGGAGCTACTGATATCCTTTGTTTCCTTTGTATATTGGTATCCTATTTGATAAGATCTTTTAATTGTAATTTTTGCACATTGTAAATACTGCTGATAATTCAGCTGCTTTTTTCCTCTGATAGCTAAACCTATTTCTTAAGAGAGTCTTCCTTTGACAACCTATACTTCTTCACCATATCTTCAGAAAAGAATGTTCTTTTGTTAAATTTTTCTATTGTTTCTTGATTAGCTGCTGACAGCTGTGTAAACCTCTGCTTGCTTTCTGAAGTGATTGCCTTTCTTTTGGAAGGGGCATCTGGGTTGTTGCCTCATGGTAGGGTTCCCAAGGCCATTCAGGCTGGCTCTGGCTTGACTTTATATGAAAATCCCTCTGTACTTTCTCCTTTCCCCAGGGGGGAAGAAGCCCGCATTGATGCAGAAGGACTTCACAAAATGGCCCAGCACCAAGTAGCCATAACTATCCAGGCCTTTTTACTCTTTGCTTTTTGGTAAGGTTCAATTATTTCATTTGAATTACTATATTATTATTATTATTATTATTATTTGTACCAGGGATCGATGAGAGGCAGGCGCGGTACCACTGAGCTAAATTTCTGGCCCAGTATTATAATTTTTGAGACAGGGTCTCACTATGTAGTTCAGGCTGGCCTTGAATTCATGATATAACCCAGGCTGGCCTCAAACTCACAGCGATCTTCCTGCTACAGTCTTCTGAATGTAAGTAAGTATGCGCCACCATGCCTAGTGATATAGTAATGTTGATTTAACAAAATATTAGATTTCCTTCACTTTAGTGATAGCATAGACGATGCTCCCTTGAGGATCCATTGCCTTTGGTACTGCTCTGTCCAATGCATTATAGTTAAAAATATCTGGATGAGCCTTGACCATGATGGCAGGATTTCTGGAAGCCTCATCTGTGACCCAGTGGCCTGAGCACTGGTGTAAGATGCCAGCCTTAGGAACCTTCTGTCTCTGGTCAGATGACTAGATTTTCCTGAAGTGTTGGATTTTTAGTGGATGTTTAGCATTATTGCATAATTCTTGCAGCCTCCTCACTTCCACCATTTGTTTAAGGAAAGCCTGAGTTAATGGTTGGAAAGTACCCTGTCACTAATCTGGCTCTGGGGAATGAAAGCATCTATTATGAACAGGCACAGAGGAGGTGTCTTCTAAATCTTCTAAGTCTGCTAAGGGCTCAAAGTATCCAGGCAAATGCATCTTTTATTGCCCTGGATGCTATCTAGCTGAAATCTCAGTCCTTAGATTGTACCAAGTTGCTAAACCCACAAGAGGCAAAATGTCGCAGATGACTCATAGAGTTAGTTCTAAATCATTTGCTAAGGTGGCACCTGTTCAGTCCATCTTTAGTTGAACAAAAACTGTTTAAGGGAAGCCAAAAAAAAAAAGCAGAGTTCAGTCTTTAGGGAAAAGGGGTTAGAAGACTTCATGCTATGGAAATTCTCTCACAGCTTTCCATGGGAGCAAGAGTGTAATTCAAAGTTAATTTTGTTTGTGGGGAAAATAAAACAGGTCCCTTTCCTCTGTGGTTGAAATTAGAATATGTTTTTATTGGCATTTGATTGGGGGGGCCTTGTTTGGCAATTAGATAGTGATGTCCCGAGCTGTATCCTAAAAATAATGTAAATCTCAGACATGGCAGGAGCCTCATTCCTTCAGTGAGGCTTCCTGGTGGGCTTTTTATAGCTGAGTGGGGATGGCAGCTTCAGGTTATAGGCAATTCAGTGAGTCCAAACATCAGACCAGGAGCAGCATGGTGTCAGAAGCTGTGTTTGCCCTTCTCTCTGCAAGCCTCAAAGCCAAGTTTAGCACCTAGCACACAGTGAGTGTTCACTCAGTATGTTTGAGTGAATGAATGAATCAATGATTGCTCATAGATTATTTGAGGATTCATATGCTTCTCAAATATGGAGCCAACGCTCCTGATGCTATTTTATCCAATGAGATTTGGAGTCTCTCTGTGGATGGTTGTTGAAGCCATGTGGCCACTAGCTCATAAGTGAGGTTACTGGGTGGACAACTAGGAAAAACATCATCCTGTTTTCACATGAGGGCTGTGGCCAGGGAGAGCAATTTTCATGGCTTCATGTGAACCAGAGCCTTCTCTTCCCCGCCCCACAAAAGACCTCTCATCTTTAGCCCCCATCCTGGAATTTTGATGATGAACAATGGACCTTGAGCTCATATAGGACCTCCCTGTGCTGCCCCAGGTACAGGCCAGATCAAGCTCGGGCCAGGGCCCTTGGTGGGGCATAGCTAGCTTTCCTGCCTTCTATGTAGGTGTAGGATTCTTAGTCCTCCAGACACTGGAATGAAGCTGAAGAAGGAACCATAAACAGAGTGGGAAGGTGAAGGGGAGAAAGCTAAGTGATTTCACTGGAAAGAGAAGTGTCAGCAGAAGCTCACACTCCAGAGTGTGCTTAATCACTAGTCAATCGTAGCTCCAGATGAGACAGTTCTTCTAAAAGCTGCCCTCAGCTTGGCACCAGTATTATGACATGCTGGTGATGTGCCAATCCCAGGATAGGACTAAGGCCCCGAGTGTTCCACAGGCAAGTCCTGTCAGTTCTAACCTCAGCAGGTGGCCTAGGGGGCAGATTACTTGCTCAACCCTGGGACTAGTCAGACTCAGAGAGCTCTGGATGGGAAGTGAAGAAGCCTGGAGGCAAGATGGTTATCCCAGGGGGTCCTGGGAAGATAGTAGGGGGAGGTCAAGGTAGACCAGTTGACCAGAGAATCTTAGGGCAGTGAAAGCTTCTAAAAGACCCCTCAAAGGTTCTCTAACACCTTGGGGCTCTGGCAAGATGGAAAAATGGGAATCAGGGAGCTTTGTCCACTGAAGGAGACCAGCAGGTAGAAACAAATGCAGTCACTAAGGACTAGAGCACCCAAAGGAAGCTTCTAGATTCTGAGAAATCAGGATCAAGATAATAAGCCAAGATGTCTAGAATTGTACATAAATAGAACAGTAGCTAGCTTTATTTGGAAGTGTACTAGGTATCAGCAGTGCATTAGGCTCTTTATAATTTTACTTCACTCAATATTCAAAATATTCACAATTTTTCAGATAAAGAAAATGAGACTTTAAAAAATATTTAATTGTCAAAGACAATATATTCAAGGTGTATAATGCAATAATTTGACATGTATACCTCATGTAATGGTCACCACAGTCAAATTCATTAACTCATCCATTACCACCCATGATGTACATTAGACCCCCAGATTGGGCCTCTTATAACTAAGTTTGTAACCTTTAACCAGTGTCTCCCCAAACCCACCCTGTTTCAACTCCTGACAACCACTGTCTATTCTCTGCTTCTGTGTATTTGACTTTTAAAATGTTCCATATATCAGTGAGTTTGTGCAGTTGTATTTGTCTTTCTGTGTCTGACTTATTTCACCTGGTATAACTTTTTCCAGGTTTGCCCACAGTGCTGCAAATGGCAGAATCTCCTTTTTTAACAGTGAACTAATATTCCATCATGTGCATATACATATACATACATCACAAGTTAAAAATCCATTCATCCATTAATGGGGACTTAGGTTGAAGGAACTGAGACTTAAAGAGGTTAAATAACTTACTTATGTCATAAAGTCACATAAGCTAGTAGATGGAGAGGTTGGGACTTGAACTCACATATGTAAGTCAACAGCCTGTGGACATAACCACTATACTCCATGGTGGGAGTTTGGTGAATGGAGCGAGGACAAGGTGAAGGGAAAATGATAGTTACCAACTGGAGGTAGGTCCTGTCCTGCAAAGATACTTTATGTCATTTAACCTGCACAATATCCTTGAAACTTTTAAGTTTCAGATGAGAGATCTGAAGCATATGGAGACTGAGTGGCTTCCTGGAATCACCCAGGAAGAGGCATTAATCCAATTAATGGGACTGAGACACATGTTGGAGCAAAACCAGCAGCAAGACTCCCCTGAGGCTGCTGTGTCAGGGGAGGAAGAGACCTAAGAACACAGCATGTAGTACTTGCTGTGCTTTCAGGCCTCCATTGTGTAAAACCTGAGTTTGGTGAAGTTCCTCCAAGATAGAGTGACATTTTGAAAATACACAACTTCAAGGACTTTGGCTTTCTGTACTCAGTGCAGGCTTTCTCCTGAAAGAACCCCATGATGCACTGATTCTTCATAATGACCAAGTTGTGGATTCAGTCCTCATATTGAGTTCATATTATTAAAACAGCCATCTTACATTCATGTCTGTGTGCAGAGGCAGTTAAATCAATGGGTTCTATCATAGAGTAAGTGAAACTAAATTTTAAGTTTAGTGTATGTGTCATTTCTTTTAAGTAGTCTGAGCTTGGGTACAATTATTCATCATGAGCCAAAAGAATTAGACAAGTTATTTCGTGCCCTTTTAGAAAAGATTGCAAAACTCCACTTAAAAAATAGTTGTAGGTACAGTTGAGTGAATGGTAAGGATTTAAATTAGATATTATTCATCAAGTAATAATGAATAATTGACAAATATTTTTTGAGTACCACTCTGAGGCAGTAAGATAGGACGTGGTCAAAACTAGCTGAGAAAAGAGGTGTGACAAGGTCCCAGGACACATGCGCAGAACAAGTCCCACGGCCCAAAAACTTGAACAGGGTAACCTGTATTGATCTTGATAGGATGACCTGTGTTGGAGACCAGAGGAGAACTGAGCCCTAATTGGCCCCTCTGTGAGCACAAAGGACGAAGGCTGCACTCGGGGGCAACTGCATAGTCAGGTTCTAAGAAAACTTGAGACAGCTGAGACTGAGTTGTTTACCAGAGCGTGCGCTAATGGATATTGGAAAGCAGCTGGATCTTGTGTTACTTTGAGTGCTTGTGCCTGTGTTTGGGTGAATAAAGGCAAGATGAGCCAGACGCAGGCCCGAATAGAGGTATAAGCCCCCTGCTTGCCTGCATGTTAAGCTGACTCCGTGTCTTTATGTTTCACCCTCATTCGCTTTGGGTCAGGGAAAACAAAGCAGCAGGTCTAGGTCCTAGAACAAGGCTGGTCAGGTAGGTCCGCCTCAGGTGGCTCCCCAACGTGGGACTCAGGATCCAGGCTCACTACAGACCTGGATGTGAAGCCAGGGTAGGAAACATAAAAAAGCGGTCTCCGTTAAGCGCTTGCTATTGTGTCCTCACAGTGGCCCACCCTATGCTGTAGGGTGTATATTTTTATTTTTTCCTTTTTCCTACTTTTACTTGGCCCAGACTTGTTCTGCAAAACTTGTTCCCCGCTTCTGGGTTTTTTTTTCTACCTTTAACAAATGTGAAAACCTTGCCACTGTTTATTCTTGTTGTGTTCAATTCTTTGTTCTGGACAGAAAGAACCTAGAAATCACCTCTAGAAGGAGACTCCAGTTAACAACTGTGGGTCACATTGCTTAGTCCTGAGACTGGAAGGTAATTTAAGAGGTCATTTAGTCTAAGGCATTTTTTTTTAACCTGGGAAGAAAGACCAAGAAAATAAATTTTAATCCATCACTGACCAATATTTTGTAATACAGAACATAAATGGTTTATGAGACAAATGATAACACAATTGGATGCCATGGTAATATCAAATTGCTAACATGTCTTATAAACACTCAGTTTTCATATTTTTCTCATTACTATAATGGTTCTTGGACAGGCATAGTTCAACATACCACAGCTTGAGTAGTAGCTTATTTTAACAAGGCAAGATCACCCCAAAACCATCTCAAAATGGAAAAACTAGCTTTTGCTGCTTTTTCTTTCAATTTTTAATTTTTTTTTTTGTTAGTTGACTTTCTAATACTGGATCAATGATTTAAAGAAACTGATTCAAGCCAAACTATATTTTTTCTAATTTTGATGTAAGGGAGAAATGGTTCTTTCAAAGACCAACCTATAAAAGGTATGTAAAGAATGAAAAGAGAAGATATAAAATACCACTCATAGCTGAGTGGAAAAAAATGTAGCCAAGGCTATGCTTAAAAGGGTTACAAATGGTCAAAACCTACTTTCAGAAAAACTCTGTGATTCACAAAATAGTTACAAATGTAGTATTTGACTTGTAGAACTGACATAGATACAGACAGAAGAAATCTATTTTTGTAGAGTTGTCCTTTCTGGCACTACTCTTTTTTTTTTTTGGTACCGGGGATCGAACTCCGGTCCTTGCGCTTGCACAGCAGGAGATGAAACCACTGAGCTAAATCCCTGGCCCTATTGCACTATTCTTGATGGCCTGGCAGAAAGCCTTTTCACAACAACTTAGAAAACTTGGAATGAAATTATTGGAACATTTTGCCAAGAGCAAAAAACAGGGCATGGGATTCAAGAGATCAAATTTTACTTTTCCCTAGATATTTACGCAAGAGCAAAACTCAGAAAAGAAGAAGAAAAAAATAATGAGTGACAAATTTAATTTTATCTTCTTAAAGACATTACATAGAAAAAAAATTCTAAATGCAAAAGTCAAAGTCTAAGATCTCAATTTCCCAGAAATGTCTAAAGTAAAATCTTCCTCACTCAATCAGGAAAAGTAGCACATATTCTACTTCTAACGGTTTATAACTCAAGGCATTTAAGAAAGGGGGCCCCAGTTCAGACCTCAGAGTATTGTGAGGAGGTAGAACCTTCTCCAAACCAGCAGTAGCTCCCTCTCAGCCTCCAGGCTTCCTGTGGAGAATAAACCTTTTTCTTTCGGGGAGCAGGAGCCACCAGTTCAACCTTTTGAGTCTTCTGGTGGGGCTGAACCTTCTGGGCTCCAGCTGGAAGCCCCACCTCATCCTACCAAGGCCCCTGAGAAAGTCAAACTCCCAGTCTAGCAAGAGGTGCCAGTTCAAGTGCTAGAGTCCTTCTGGAGAACATAGATGAAGCTTTACTGATTCATGAGGTGATGCTTCGACTTCCAGGTCAGGATCAAGCTCACCATTCTTACCTGTCCAGTGTTACAGTGCAGCCCATGATGTGGAGCTTACTATGACTTCAGAGCCTACTGAGAAGGTTGATTCTTCTCTGGCCTAGCCAGGGGCCCTAGCTAAACCCCCAGGCCCTCCTGTAGAGGCCAAACCTTCTCCCAGCCAGCAGGAGCAGGCAGCTGAGCCTTCTGAGTCTCCGGGTGGAAGTAGAATCTCCTGGAAGCTCCAGGTTGGCCTCAGAGGATGCTGGGGAGGTAGAACTTTCTCCAATCTAGCAGGAACAACCAGCTCAGTCTTCAGAGCATTGTGAAGTAACAGTTACACTTCCAGGTTATTAGCAAGTTCAGTATTATTCAAACTTGCCCAATGTGATTGTCAAACCTCCAGATTAGCTTACCATAACTCCAGAACCCAGAGCTTGGGGATCTGTCTCTTAGCTCCATCCATTGGTTGACACAGAGTTTACTCTGGCTTTGCTGAATTCTGACAATACTGTGCCCATGTCCTAAGAGATTGTTCTACGTATGTTCCATATTTTGACTCATTTAATCCTCATTGGTTTGAAGAATTCATATCTTCATTTACTAATAAGGAGTCAAGGTCAGAAATGATGGGTACTTTTCAAGGTCAGAAAGGTGGTGAATGGACAACTCAGGCAGTCTAGCTCCTGAGTCCACTGGACGGTACCTAAGCCCCTCGCTGATAACTGTAACTCTGTGGCCCTCACTAGAACACATTGTGTCTGGAGAGAAAGAGCCAAGTGTCCCACACTTGGAAGCACCCCCTCTAAGGAAAACCTCTCCAGCTGATCTCACCTGTGGGCAACAGCTTTCAGTCAAGGCCAGAAGACAGGCTGAGACAGAGGCTTCTGGTGGGCACTTTCCTTCCAGCCTTGGCACATGTGCTTGGCACAGAGGCCATGGATAAACACGGCCTCCAGGGCACTGCACACGGTGTTGGCATCTCCACCTCGCTAGAGACTACTAAGTCCAGGGGTGCATACAGCATCCACAGTGCCTCCACAGGTCCCACCAGCTTCACCTCGAGGACCAGGGATCCAGTACATTCTTCACCACTATGCATTTCCACTCAGGCAGCAGCTCCCAAGGAGACTCACAAGACACCCAAGGGAGTGGGAGCGGCATGGGATGGCACTCCCAACCCACTGTGCCAGCCCCTCAGCCCTGGAGCCCACACAGAGACCTCCTGGACCCATAGGGATAAAAAATAGCTCTGCAGCACCTCATACCTGAATCATCACACCTACTCCGTGCTCCTATGGTTGTTAGATTTCTTCACAACTTGGAATATGAGTTTCAAAAGGGTGAAGGAGCCAGGCATACATGATGGTACATACTTGTAATTCCAACACTCAGGAGGCTGAGGGAGGAGGATCGCCGATAGTTCGAGGCCAGCCTGGGCTACATAGTGAGTTCGAGCCCAGCCTGAACTACATAATGTGACCCTGTATCAGGAAACAAAAATTAAAACTAACAGAAAAAGATGAGAGAGAGGCCTCAGAGAAGAGGTTATGAAACCTCTGCCCGCATCATGCTTGCTTGTGTCCCACTTCCTGGAGTAAGTCATGTGATGGGGCCCAGATTTCCTATGAGAAGGAAAAACGCAAGAGCATGAGATGTGAGAGTCATTGTTCATTGGAAGCCAACAATGCAACAGTCTGTCATACAAATGGAAACATTTAAAAGGCTGTATAAATGCAAATTCTGAGTTTTGGAATAAGGCAGAATTGAAAACCAGCTAATATTTTAGAGTTTAATAGAATAGCACCAGTATTTGAGGATCTTCTGTTAATGGTTGTTGGGCTGTATTAACTCACTACATTAGACCAGTGAACCTAAATGATCAACTCCAAGTATTTGCTGAGCACCTCATTAGTCATTATTATGGGGCAAAGTGGCACAGAAGATACATTTTAGTTAAATTCATTTTACCTTCAATGGGGAACAAGAGATAGAGGGGGGAGGAGGAGGAAGGAAGGGAAAAGGAATTTTTTTAAAAAGGTAAAATTGAAGAAAAAAATGGAAATAGAGCTTCTTTTTTTAATATACTTATATAAATTTATTTATTTATTTATTTTTGTATTAAATTCTTTTATTGGTACATTGTAGGTATATAACACAATTACATTTCTCATTGGGAATTGTACCTTTACATAATGCATCTTGGTTCTTATTTTTTCCCCATTCCTAGCCCTCCCTTCACGCCCTCCACCCTTCCCTATTTACAAAGACTTTATTTCCATTTTGTCCATTTCTCATCATTTTTTCCTTTCCCTTCTTTCCTTTCCCCTGCTCCTCCCACTACCCCTACCCCTTTGGACCTTTTCTTCCTATTTTACATTATCGATTATTCATTCTAATCTTTGGTACATTATAGGTATACAATATAATGACATTCATCATTGGAAATTTGCACCTTTACATGGTCTCTCTTGGTTCTTATTTTTCACCCTTGCCCAGCCCTCCCTTCAACCCCTCCAGTCCTCCCTATTTACAAAGATTTTGTTCCTATTTTTCCATTTTCTCATATTAATCCCATTCCCTTCTATCCTTTCCCCTAGCCCTCCCACTTCCTTCCCCTTTGCCCCTTTTCTTCCTGAAATAGAGCTTCTTCAAACGGGAATGGGATCAAGAGTTGGAAGGAGCAGGAAGAGATAGGAGGGGAAGGAGATGAAAAAGAATTAAGATGTATTACATACACATACAAAGTCCCCATGACAGATGTAATCATTATGTATTGCAAATGTGCTAATAAGAAAATGAAAAAATATGGATGACCCAGCTTAAGAAGAGAGAATAAATTCACATTTCCATCATCTTTTTGTTCTATCCTGGTCCTGGATGGACTTTATCCTAAGTGATAAGAAACATTAAATAGTGTTAGGTAGAGACATGGTCAAATTTATATTCTAAAACAATCCTATCCAATAGAAATTTCACCAATGATGACCACATTCTATAATCTCGTCTACTGAATATAATAACCCTTAACCACATGAGGTTGTTGAGCACTTGAAATGTGGTCAGTGTGACTGAGGAACTCAATTTTACATTTAAATCTAGATATCCAAATATGGCTCTTGGGTGCCATATTGGATAAGTAAGCTCTAGATAAATATCTCTGACAGCAGTGTGGAGTATGAATTGGATATAGGCAAGAATAGAGGGAATTAGAAAGCTTTGTAACAACTCAGATGGGAAGCAATGTGGTCTTAAAGTAAGGACCATAGGAATGGAGTGGAGACTAACTTGAGAATTCAGAAATTCAATGGATGGAATTTGATACCTTATTTGAGATAAGAAAGTAGCCTGATCCTAAGAAGATGGATACTCAGGAGTAGAACCAAAAAAGTACAGTTAGGAGGATGAGGATAAAGATGGAGGCTGTGAAAGCTGCATAGTAGAGCTTGGATTGACTTGGTAGGCAGTAGGAAGTAGTGGTATCAAATGCTCATCTTCTATTAATATGCAAGATGATTGCAAAGGAAAGAAACTAAAGGTGAGGAGAGCAGCAAGGAAATATGGTAGTCATTTTGACACTATTGAGGGTGGTCTGACTAAGGCAGAGGTAGCAGGAGGATAGATGAATAGGCTAATGATTATCAGCATCATTTAAACATCAGGCATTATGGAATTGGTGAGAAATTCATGTTTCTAGTCTAACAGATGAAAGGGAAAGGTGAATTAATAATTGATTAGCACTAATGAATTAGGTCCCATGCTAGACACTAACCTCTGGATACCAGACAAATTGGTAATATTGCTGATGGAAATGGACTGGCCTAGAAGAGGAAAGTTAGGAAAGACCCAATGCATATCCTTTGAACATGAGTTTTATATCCCAAGTAGATCTATTCTGTACATGTTTGTCAAAGAGATAAGAAAAGAAAATATGAGATGCATAGACTGAAGGATTTAAAAAAAAATAACACATTTTATCAATTTAGTTTATCTGACTGATAAACAGTTTTAAGAGATTTCTTTGATAATACATAGCTTCAAGATTACAGATAGTATTTTATTTGCTGGCCCACATGAATAGCAGTAGGTTTGAGAACTTTGTCCTTCAAAGTCAATAAGAAAATACAGAGTACCAAGCATAAAAGTACTAGAGGAGACAACAGCTCAGCCAGACAAGTATTTAATATTATTAGCTCAGCTAAACCCAAGAAAATCCAGTGCAGTATTCCAAATTAATTTAAAAATAAGACATTAAGCCTATTTAGACTGTGAGAGAACTAGAGTTTGCTAAGAATTTTGACATATATAATACTTTAGTTTTAGAGCCTTTTAAAGCTTTCTTATTTACCATTGAATACTTTGTAATGAGGATCTTCTTTCTGTTTCCATATATGCAAAAATATCACAGTGCAAATAATTTAATCACTTGTCTTAAAGAATATTAACTACTTCAGCAGCCCCTACTCAATCTTGGTGATTAATTCAATGAAGCTTATTTTTCATTTATGTTATAGTCCAGTGCAAGTATGTGAAGGGCAGACTTCCACATGGTGATTCAGGGACCCAGGCTTCTTACATCTTATGGATCTGTTATCTCCTAGGGCTTTGGAATCCTGACCTCCCTGGAGAAGAAGAGAAAGCATGGGGCCGGGGATTTAGCTCAGTGGTTCTGCTGCCTGTCTCACAAGTGCAAGACCCGAGTTCGATCTCCAGTACCAAATAAAAAAAAAGAGACAGAAAGCATGAAGGATCATGCAAGAGGCTTTTAATGAACTACTTCTGATGAACTTCATTGGCTCAAAAATCCATTTTATGGATACACAGTGAGCTGGATAGTGTAGACTCAGGGCACTTCTCAGGGATACCTCTATACTGTGGAACAGTGTACTGCATCCATCCTTGGTAGGTATACCATGGAATCTTGCCCACTCCTTCCCCTCCTCTCTTTAGGGTCACAAATGCAGTATACTCATATCTTCCAGCAGTTTTACATACTTGGAGCAACCATACCATGGTTCTCTAACCAGTCACCCTCGAAATTCTCTTAGGAATTGACTTTTAGAAAAACACTGGTTAAAGACATAAATGAGATAAAGACATAAATGGTAAGTCTCACAAACACAGGTAGATACTCTATAAATCTAGAGTAAGAAAGTATAAAAATGAGCAAGTGTGCTCTACATTGCCTGCTTAAAGTGTTGAGAGGAAAGAGATCCCATGTATTCTATGAACTGCTCTGCATTAACAGCAATGTGTTGAGAGCCTTCAGTGATTGTATGGTGTACAAATTGTCTCAGTCCTATACTCTAAGGCCTTAGTAAAATTAATTCAATCTAAAAATTGACAACTATTTACTAGTCTGCTGCTCTGTGTGAGGTACTCCTATGGAGATCTTAAAGGTTTTGAAGAAAAAAACTCTTGGGCCAGCCCCAATCCTCAAAAAGTCTACAGGATTTATGGCTAAATGGCCTGATTTAATTAGCTGCTGTTACTGTGACAAAATACCTGAGATTATCAACTTAAAAATAGGAAGGGTTTATTTTCATTCATGGTCTCCAAGCTTTTAGTCCATGGTTAGTTGGCCCTCTTGCTTTGGGCCTGTGATGGTAAAGAACATCTTCATTGGAGTGCATGGCAGGAGAAGCCTGTTTGCCTCTGGTGAGCCGGAAGGAAGGAAGGAAGGAAGGAGAGAGAGAAAGGGACTGAGGTTCCAATGTTCACTTCAAGGTCACATCCCCAATGACCTGCCTTCCTTCCACCAGGTCCTACCTCTTAAAGTCCCCCACACCCCCCGCCACAATAGCACCACAAGCTGGGACCCAAGTCTTTAACACAAAAGGCTTTGGGGGATATGCCAGATCAAAACTATAGCATGGCCCTTTATTGTGTCTGGTTGGCATATTCTTACTAAAATGCAAGCCTCTAAAGTAATGGATTTTGGATCAAGAAACAAAGTGCAATGTGGGAAAACACTAGATGGTGATGTATTTTCCCCTGCTTTTAGCATTGTGATCCTAGAGACTACTCAAAGGGATTCAAACAAATCCTTAAACTTAGGATGACAAGAAAGGAGGGAAAACGAAAATTATGCACTAGGATATTTTAGAAGCTGCTTTCTAATTTTTACTTAAACTCTCTGCCAGATTAGTTACTAATTTTTCATCCAGAGAACAAAGGCTCCATACCTTAAATCCCCACTTAGCTAAGAAAGATGATTTTATTACTTACCCCTTTTATTTTTACTCATCCACTCAGTGAGAATAATGATAGCCACCCACCTTCCTAACAGAGTAGCTCTGGGCTGGTAGGAAAATGTATCATTGTAAAGAAAAGGTACTATTAAATAGGTGTAGGCTTTCTTTTATCTTAGAACTATTGCTTGTAGTAACACACACCTAGGGTGGAAAAAAGAATTCCTATTAATAGCAAATGTATAAGATTACCTGCTCTGCTCAACTGCATATTTCAATAAAGGGCAAAGTGGACTGTGTGAAGCAAGAGCGGGAAGGAAATTCATGTAATTGGAATGTGAATTCTTTATAGGGTCTCTGGCAGAACTACCAACCAGGGAGTGCCCTAATGGGAGGCACCATTGTCAAGGTTCCAACCAAAGCTGGGATCTGCC